CCCAAACAAAAAAATGGACCCCCCCCCCCCCCCCCCCCCCCCCCCGCCCTTGCGTGAACCGTTACTTGAACAGGTTTGTCGTGGTGCGAGATCCGGCTGACAGGCTGCTGTCGGCTTTCTTGAACAAGTGCTTGGGAGGGGAGTGGCAGAACTGCCCGTACACGGAGTTCATGCCGCAGCGTTTCCCCGGGGTATCGAAACGCGATGCCGCAACAGACACCGTGAGTACACCTGTCACTTGTAGCTCCGTTGTTGTCGCCAACAGCTGTTGCAGTTGTACTTAAAAATAGTACGTCTGCCAAGGTCGCCGTGGACACCGTGGTTACCGTTGACCTCTAGCTCCGTTGTCGGCGGCAGCTGTTGCATCCCACCGTCACCAGGGGTAACCCCCTCCGTCTTTCCCCCCTCCGTCTTACACCGTGCAGAAATTCCGCGCGGCGATGAACGACGAGCCGCGAAAGGTCTTCCGCGACTTCATGCTCGGGGTGCGAAGGGACGTGAGGCTGACGGGTTGCAAGGTCAACTCGCACTGGCGGCCTCAGCACTGCTTCTGCTCGATCGCCCGGTTCAGAGAGTCGTACCACGTGGTGCCCTTCGCGAACATGTCGGCAAGTACAAGTCGATTTAACCTCGGTTTGGTTTTTAAGAATTGTTTTGGGATGTGTTGTACTTGTTGTCCTGTGCCGCTAAATTACCGTGTTTGGCTTCGGGCAGCGGAAAATGCTTCCTAGAGTGCGCCCGATTGTCTCGTCGCATGACAAAAACCACTCATCGTGTGCGTTGCGATTTGGCGCGTCTGCCTTTGTGTTAATAAAAATACCAAATAATTAACGGTCGCGGTGGAAGGGGCTGATGGAGCACTCACTCCATGTCTGCGTTCTCTCGAACGCCGTCCCGTCGGTGCCTTCCTGCCTGTGGTTCCGACGCCGCTTGGTTGTGACCCGTGCGCAGAGACTGCTGTGAATCAGATGTAGGCCTTGTGTACAGATTGTGACCAGTGCGCAAGAGACTGCTGTGAATCAGATGGGCGTGGGCGTGCCTTTTTGCAGCCATTGACCGCTGCAGCCCTCGCCTGCACATGACGCTGGGCCCACACCCCCACCCCCACCTTTACGTACGCCTTTTACGACAGAGAGCAACACCTGCGAGTGAAACAAGATATTGGCAGGCCGCATCGACAATGAATGTCCGCGTTTCCTCTTACTATCTCTTTCGTATGTCGCGTGCCGTGAAAAAAAAAAAAATGGTTCTGTTATTAGACGGAGGCGGTGAACCTGGTGGATCACATGCGGAGGCCTTCCCCGGACCGTGCGGAGCTGCTGAGGGAGTTCATAGTGCAGCGGTTCAGCAGCAACCAGGACGCGAAGGCGCAGGGTGCCACCAGCAAGAGGGAGAGGTACTTCTCGCAGGAGGCGCTGGACGTCATCAAGATGGTGAGAAATACGGACAAGACAGACAGGTATAGACAGAGAGAGACATACATACAGTCAGTCAGACAGACAGACAGACGAGACAGACGGGTGACAAGGATGTTTAGTGGCAGATCGAGCTTTTTTTTTTTTCAAGGACACAGATGTCGGGCGCAACGGGCGGATGCAGAAGGGGATAGGTGCGCCGACCCTTTTTTTTTTCAAGCTGTGGCAATAGCGCAGTATGCGCCCACATGGTGTGTTGAAGTGCCTTGGGTCAAGAGAAGAGGCGCGGCCCTCCTTCTCGTAAGGAATACGTGGCCCAATGATTGAGTCCCTCAAAAGGAAGCGAAATGATTAGGAACCCCAAGAGCCACCTTTGGCGAAATAAGAAGGAGCGATTGGCCATCGGTGATCGGTCGTCCTGTGGGAACAACGCTCAGTCCTCTCGAGGACGCGCGGTCAATGGTCTAACAACTACAAGGCATACAAAACATGAGAGTACGCCCCCCCACCACCCCCCCACCTGCGTGCCTTGCGAAACGCCTTTTTGTTACGACGTTAAGGTGTACGGCAAGGACTACTCTCTCTTTGGCGAGTACTTCGAGGAGCACTCCGCTTCAAGGTTGCAATAGCGAGGGGCACCGCGTGGTATATTCGGGGGGGGGGGGGTCGATGCCCCATGCGGCAGCACCAAAATACGTGGCACGTAGTTGGTTCGTGTCGCCCGCTTTGGCCCTTCTTTCGGTAGCGTGTCTTGGATGTATCAGTGCAATCCAACGGCCCCCCGGCGAGACATAGCTTCGGTGTTTTAGAGCCACACGTCGTCGAAGCTGGACCACTCAGCAGCAGTGGCAGACAGACCGTGACGTACACCGGTAGACAGACGCACGAACGAAGCGGTTGTTGTAGAGGACCGACTTTTTGAGGCGCCCCTCAATGGTCTTGAGCCGGTTGCGATTAAGGTCTGCTCTTTTCGGCCGCCCTTCCCCGGCTCAACCGCGGTGTTACAGCAGTTTTTGGGTGTACAGACAGACAGGTCTCCAGGTGTTTCATCGGCTTTTGCCGTTTTGGTTGTTCTTGTGTTGTGGATTTTGTTGTGAGGTGACGTTGGTGTTGGTGTTGGCAGGGAGATTTACTCATTTGGTCTTTATCTAGTTGATCAAGTATGTGTGTGTGTATGTGTATTTGTGTAGTTTTCTGCGCCTCATATTTTTCTCTCTGCGCGGCCCTCGTCGCCGCGGTCACACCCGACGGACCTGGGAAGGAACTAAAACGCATGCTCCGAGCCCAGACCTTTTACGCTGTTTCGCGCGAAGAGACGCTCGGCATGGCAGCAAAGCAGTACAAGACGACTTGGGAATTAGTGCAAAGCCTTGAGAGAGCATGTAAAGCATATCTGTAGAGTAGTTTCTCCTTGGAGAATGAGGGCGGTGTGCGGGTAGGGCAGGGGGGGGGGGGGGTATTCAAAGGTTCGTGAAGATGAAGTTAATAACTTCTTTTTAGCGCGATAGACCCTATTTCTACCACACCCCGGAAAGGCGCACATATCACGTCAGGCACTCCTCGTAGGTGTTCCGAGTCAGTTTTTTTTTTTGGGGGGGGGGGCGGGAGGGGGTCACAGTCCGGATGTCCCATGGAACGCGGCGTCCTCATCGTTCGAGTTTTTCGCTCATGTTGATTTGGATCTGCGTGCGATGCGGGATAATAATGCAACCCGCGGCGAAGAGCAAATACTCTTACACTCTTACGGCTTTTTCTGCGGGGAATATTTTGCGCGATGTCCATTTCTGTCGCGCGCGATATTTGTGCTCGTGTGCGGCGGGTCCATGGATGCCCCCCCTCTATGTGACGTACTTGCTGCCGGCCCCCGTATTGTTCCCGGTTGAACGAATACGCTGGTTGTTTAAAATGGTCGTTTTTCATGGTTTGATGCTCTTTGGTTGTGCGTGCGGCATACAGAGGGAGCGGTTAGGAGGTCCATTCGGTGAGAGCACGTGAAACGCCACAGACGCCACGTGCGGGTAACGATTTTTTTTTTCGTGTTTCTCTCGGTGCTTTCGCGAACGGGTTGTACCAGGCTGCAGGTTAGATTTTTTTTTTTTTTTTTCATGTCTGGGGTCTTGTGCGTGTTTTGTACCGTAATTACGGCAGTGAGTGTTTTCGTGACCCGGGCGTTAGGCCTATTGCCAAGCAAGGTATGATGTGTATGTAATGTGGAAGGGGATGTGTAGGTCTCCTATGCACTCCCCCGTATTTTTTTCCCACAGTGGTAGTCGTGCAACCCGTTTTCTTTGGACGGCCACACAAAGTGTAAATCATTGTCTTGGATGGAAGATCCTCGGTAGGTGTTTAATTTAATTCGTGCCTTGATTCCGAATGCACCAGTACTAATGTCGTTTTTTCCACAAGTGTTGTAACGGTTACAGCAGTGTGTGTGTTTGATGTTTCAATAGGGGGGTCAGTGGTAGTCTCCAGGGGGGTCTGTGGAAATTTCGGCTTCTGCGAGGGGCTGCCCAAAAATGATCACGCATCACACACGATTCCCAGGCCTTCCAACCCACACACGGTGTCCCATGGGTTTCCCTACATTCCATGCCAAACCCGTGTCCCATGGGTTTCCAAAAGAATCCATGCCATACCCGGGGGGCGGCGGTACGCCCGATGGGATGGTAGGACTACCGTCCGCTGCTAACCGTAACCTTTCGCGGGTTTTCGCGTCACCACTTCTACAGACTGAGGTCGAAATCGGCGTCTGTTCATGTACGTCCCCTAAACCGAAGCTCCAAACTAACACCAAGAACAACCTTCTTCCACATGGTCTGCACAAAATGAATCGTGTGAAAGAAGAGGCCGACCACGCGACGACGGTGGAAGGGGGGGCATGCTTTGATACTTTTGGGGGTTGTCAGCAACATCTGTATTATAACGTGTAAACAAGTGCTCTAATTAGCATACGCTCCCCGCAGGCGTGCTGCTGTAGCTGCAGAACAAGATCACCAACTTTTGAACAACACGTACCACCCCACGCACAAGAACTACGAGCTCTCTTCTCGCTTTCGCTTGCTCCTTCCAAAGTATTCGAACACAGGAAACAGTAACATGCGTGGCCACCAACATTCGAAAGGGGAAACGAGGCATCGACATGGCGCGCGCGTAACAACAGGGGTAGTCTAGGCGAGACAAATACGAACGACAAAAAACGGCGGGGCGGGGTCTTTCGCTCGAAAGCACACAACAATAAAGACAACTCAAACCCCGTTGTAGATACCAGGGTTCAGGTCCACACAACGACCACCCCATGGAAAATCTCCAAACGCGTCTGGTAGCGAAGGTGTTCAATTATGAAACAAATCAAACAGCACCCAAGGATGAAAAGGAAGCCTCAACATGAAAAGCCCTGGCCAAGATGTTTCTAGTCTTCGCAAGAAATACAGAAAGAACAGCGATGAGAAAGCCTGGGTGATGGCAGATCGAGTCATCATCACCATCATCATCATCATCATCATCAAAAAGAAAGCCTGTTGAAGGTACATTGGGTCATCATCATCAAAAACAACAACGGAAGCCTGGTGAAGGCACATCGAGTCATCATCATCATCAAAAAGAAAGCCTATAGTGAAGGCACATCGAGGCATCATCATCATCAAACGGAAAGCCTGGTGAACGAATGTATTTAGTTATCAACACCAAGCCTCCGTCGGCGACAAGCAATTCCTTCTCCTAGGCGATCATGGTGCTGAGCTGCACGCCGGTGGGGTCGCCGGTGCCAGCGGCGGCAGAGCTTCTGCCGTCGAGCACTCCCCGGCGCCCCCCTTCCAACCCCCCCTCTGCCACTATCCGCTGTGCCTCCTCCGATATCCTCAGCCTCCTGTAGAACGACCATGCCACCTGATGTCGTGGTCGTTGTGTTTTTCGTCGAGATGGGGGAGGGGGGAGGTGTTCGGATTGTTTTCTGTGCTCCTCGTTTGGCGTCGGCATTTGCGTGCTCCTACAACCCTGTTGTACTTGCTGCTGCTGCTGCTGCTGCTGCTGCTGGAAAGTGAAATGTACCATTTCAATCAACTGTCTCCTACGCTGTTGAGTTGATGTTGTTGTTGTTGTTGCTGCTGCTGCTGCTGCTGAAAGCTGAAAAATTAAAATTTCAACCAATCGGCCTTCCTCTGTTGGCGACCTAGCTTCAACGTACGTCATATTTTCAATTATTTCTGTCCCGTCTTGTCTTGCGCATAAAATTAATGCACATGGTACAGTACATCACGCCAAGGATCGAAGAGAAAAAAAACGCCACATTCTCTGCTCGAAAAAACAAAAGGCTCAACGAGACAACTAAGTATTTATTTTTTTGCGTTTGTTTTTACAGCAGCATGCACCACCGACCCCCGCGCCCGTCTCTTGCTCGACGATTCTTCAAGACAGTTCGGCAGTGTTTTGTCCATGTTCTTCGGAAGGGCAAGCAAACTTTCTGATACAGGGCACCCTGCACCGCGTTTGGGTGAGAACGCAAGCCGTGCTCTGCACAAAAAAGTAAACATTTCAGAAAACAACGGCAGTGAAGCCAGGTCTGTTACACCAAAAGATACGAACACGGTAAGACAAAAAACGCAGAAAGAAACGAGAACACGGGACAAGGGGGGTGCAACGACGAGAAAAAAACAAAACAAGAGTGCGAAAAAAAAATACAATTCAACTCTCGAAGTAGATGTCAGATGCAAGAATCTTGGCATCTGTTGGATATCACAACCACTTCTGCAGATCTCTACTCCGCCAAAAAAAAATAAAAAACACCGCGGGCAGACACGCTTGTCCTGATATCACAATCCTGGATCCGACGGCTGATGCGCTGGTGAGGCATGCCAAGCGTCGCCATCGCACGACAGACCCCATTTCTATAGCCTGCGTCATCCGCGAGAGGCTGCGAGATGACACCCCCCCTAAACCCATATGTGAGAGCCCGGTCCGGCGAGAACCCGGCGTGCTCCGTCCGGGCTTTGTAGGGATGCGAGGTCAACGGTCTAACGGCTACAGCATGCACGACTATGAATATGAGTACACCCCCCCTAGACCGACTTTCAAAGCTCGATTGCTCCACGACCAAGATTGTCTGTACCGTACCGTATACCGTACCGTGGTATTCCGTAAGAGGCGAAGAGATGGCACCCCCCCCTAGACCGACTTTCAAAGCTCGATTGCTCCACAACCAAGTGGGTGCGGAAAGCGCCCCAATCGTCTACGGAAAGCCCTCGACGAGATGTTTCTAAAACCACCATTCTTCTTGTCGATACAAGCTTAAGCTTTGGTCGTGGAGCAATCGAGCGTTGGACATCGGTCTAGGGGGGGGGCGCCCCATCTCTCCGCCTCTCACGGTACTTTACATAGCTTCTCGCCTGGCTGGCGGCCATTTCATTGAACGGTGCTCGATCTTGACGTCTGTACCTTAACTTTGTGGGAACGGGCTCTCAAACGTCATTATCATCGGTTTCGTCGGTACACACACTCCCGCGCTACAATGTACCTACCTTGAAGAAATAGGCGGAGAACAGGGCGGCGAGCAACGTGTTCAGCGGACCCTCGTCGTTCGGCGAAAGGAAGGAGTGGCACAGGTCGATCGAGAACGTGACGGGGAAGCCCAGCATGAAGAGCTTGGCGAGCGTGGTGTTGTTCGTGTACCCGGCCCTCCAGCCCGCCAGCGACAGCAGCATGTACAGCGCGCCTGTACGTTGATCGTCGTCGTCGTCGTTGTTGTTGTTGTCGTTGTTGTTGGGGGTGCTGCGACTGGATGTGTACGATGTGTGCGAACATTGAATGCGCCCAAGAGTACTACCGATTACTCTGGAAAAACGAACGTCCCCCCCCTTACCACCCCCCACCCCCCCCGAAAACACAACCCGGCGTATCGCTCCGCCCCGGCATTGTAGGGATGCGAGGTCTATGGTCGCGACTACGGCATGGTTTTAGATGAGTACCGTAGACGACACGAGATAACACACCCCAGTGATAAAATTTTGGACTTTAAAAATATTATCACCGGGTGTGGTATCCTGTGGGGGGTGTGGTATCTTATGTAGCCCGGGTGATAAAGTGCAGCTCGCAGGGGCCCTTAAGGGGTGTGATAAACCATGGGGTGTGATAGCACGTCCGAACACGCACAGGGTGTGTTTGGGGGTGTGATAAATGAGGGGGTAAGGGGGTGTGATGGCACGCCCGAACACGCACAGGGTGTGTTTGGGGTGTGATAAATGAGGGGGTAAGGGGGTGTGATAGCACGCCCGAACACCCACAGGGTGTGTTTGGGGTGTGATAAATGAGGGGGTAAGGGGGTGTGATAGCACGCCCGAACACCCACAGGGTGTGTTTGGGGTGTGATAATGAGGGTGTGTGATAAAAAGGTGTTGTGACACTTCTTGTAGAGTTGAACCGCTGACTCACCGATGGCGTGATAGGCGGGCACCATCGACTGCGAGAAGTCGAGCGTCCTCTCTCCCTGATCCATGGCGCTAAGATAAGCGTCGCAGTCGTGCTCCTGGGTCACGATCACCCCCATGCAGTCCTTGGTGTACTGTTTTTGGGGGGGGGTTACGATCATCACGTTTTGATCGTGTTCAGACATGGGTTTTGCATGTTTTTTTTTTTGAGAAGCAAGCAGGATACAACATTGCGCACTTTTGGAACAATATCGACGAAGCTTATCATGCATTTCTTCGCAGCGGCGGGGGGGGCCGCCGCACCCCCCTGTTCTTGAAACGAGTCGGCCGCGAAATGCCCTAATCCCCCCTCCCCCCCCCCATGGCGAAGACCCTGAGGGATGTCAAAGGAGTTTGCTTCCCTTGTCAGGCAATCAGCCTTACTTGCTGATTATCTTGCTAGGCAATCGGCCGTATTGATTTTCTTGATGTCGGCAGAGTCAACCCTTGTGAAGTTGTAGTGATGGGGTCGGGTGGGCGGGACTCGACCAAAAAGGTTCAAGCGGGCAAGGGAGGCTGTGTCCTATGGTTGAATTTCTCCTCCTCCCTACAGCGGTGCGGTGGACTACGGAGCCCCCGCGAGAGAGCAAGTTCGAGAGCCGCAAAAGGCTGCATGCGTTGCAGGTAAACACACGGAGCAGAGCAGGATTGGTGGCGTGTGCGAGAGCCGCAAAGGCTGCGTTGTACACACACGGAGCAGAACGGTGGCACGTACGAGAGCCGCAAAGGGCTGTATATATGTACACATACACAGCAGAGCAGGATTGGTGGCATGTGCGAGAGCCGCAAAAGGCTGATTGTACACATACAGAGCAGGAACGGTGGCACGTTCCAGAAGCCGCAAAAGCTGTATAGATGTACACATACAGAGCAGGAACGGAGACACGTGCCAGAAGCCGCACAAGGCTTGGTACATTACTCACACATACTGGTACAGCCTAGAGACGAGAGCGCGTACTGTACGAGAGTCGCAAAAGGCCGCACGTACACACACACAGAGAGAGCAGAGCAGAAACGCACCGCCGATCGCAGTCTTCGGAGGTGCTGGATGATGACGGGGATAGTCCAATTCTCGAAGTTGATGTAGACCATGCCCCAAAACATGTTCCAAAGCGAGAGGAGGTAAATGCCTTGTGTAAAGGGGAGGACGGAGAGAGCCGCCGGAAAAAAAAAAATGCGGGCGGGCGCCGAAAGCACAAAGTAGTGTTAGAACTGCCGTGGTTGTTATCTTGCTCTCGCTGTTTGTATTGCTTGAACACTGTGGTATTCAGCAACGACGGCGTGGAGGGTATGTGTGTAAATGCAAAAATTTGCGTGCATCCGCACGATACAGCAGTGTTGCTGTTCCATCACCAGTAGACAACGGAGAAAGAGCCAAGAAGCGGCAGCCGCAGCACAGCGGCAACGATGGCGTCTGCTGAAGTGGAAGATTGCTACTGATGATGTAGTCCAGAGATGTCACCTGTTCTTATCGTGAAGCACCCGCAGCAGCTGGCTACCGGACCCGCCTGCCACCACCAAGCAGTCCTCGTCATCCCCAGCCCTCGCTCTTCCTCCGGCGCCCATCGCCCTACGTCGACTGGCCACTGCTGCTGCGGTGTCGCCATACGCTGGTTCACAGGTGTGGGGCTCCCCCGCTCATACAACACACCTGCGATCACACACGGGTGTATGCAAGTATGTACCGAAAACAAATTACACAGCTGTGTGTGTGGGCTTTCCTCTCTGGCACTCACTGCTGCTGTCCGTGGCAGGAACGAACGTAATACTTCCCCGCCAGGCGTGTACACTTCAAGGGAAGAGAGCAGTGCTGGTGCTGCTTGCTGCATGCTTCTCGCGACAAAAACCGAAGGCAAGTACCGAAGGAGGGGTTGGAAGGGGGGCCTCAGGGGGAGGAACCCTTCACATATCTATGCACGTGCACCCATGTACGCGGAGTGACATTAACGTTGAAT